ATCTGTGTAAAAGACACTTGAAGGCATTCATTACCTCAATGCATAAAGCCTCTGGATTCATTTGTCTTAGTAGGCTGCATAGTGCCCTTGGAGTTTTTTTTTTATTTTTTTAACAAAAACAGAGTTGTTGGTTTTATATGTATCTGCACAAGTATTTACAGCCCTTGCACTTTTTGACATCATTCATAAATTCTATTTACTTTATTGCGATTTTATGTGATCCACACTTGTATGTGAAGTAGTGCATGTTTGTAAAGTGGAAGGTAAAAGCTAACCTGGCAACCCAGATTGCTAATGTGTATTACTCAGGTTTAGTTCTGCACATGATTAATCTAAACTGCTCCCTTCTAATCTGTTCAGGGAAAGGAGGAATGTTTAGCAGTATCTTCCAACCTAATTGGGTAAAACGACACCAAGTGCCCTCCTACCAAAATTTAGTTTTAGCCAATCATTGTAACAAATGAAATGGCTGCAGATGCCATGATGACCTAAAACTGCTTACATTTATGTCCCCTCTTTGTTTCTCTGAAATCATCTGTTTTATCTTCTAATAAATCAGATGTGATAGCAGCAGCTCCTCCCGCAATACCATGTTTAATTATAATACTTATGGGTCAAATTTGAATGATTTTAGATTGAGCAATACAAGACGGTTTCTCTTTCTCCTGGTATTTTGAAACTCACAAATACAGCAAGACTTGACCTTGCATGCAAGGTTAGGTAAGGGGAAGCACAAAAAGAAATATCAAAGCTGCTGCATTAATTTTACTCTGATACCCCCTCCCAAAAAATATGAAAAATGCATTCATTTTATTTTCTGCGTGAAATGCAAAAGATCACTATCAAATTCCTTCCATTTGACAACTATGCACTCTTTTGTATTGTCTCTTACATAATATGTGATAAAATGTGCTGAAGTTTGGGGCTGTAACTTTGCAGAGTGAGGAAACATTAAGGGCTTTTAAAACAGTCAGTTCTCTGCAGGTTTTATTCCACTAATTGCTTCCTATACATTAGCTGTTTATGATCACTGTGGAACAGGGATGCTATAATGAACACTACCCCATGTAACATCAATCTTTGCATGCTCTCAGTCTAAGCTTATGAGAGACACTGAGTGTGTTGTTTTTTTGTTTTTTTTTTGACCGCTGGTGTCCTTCAGGGGTGCAAAAGGTCCACGATGGTGGCATTATGCACATCGTCCTGTTCTGTTCTAACTGCATGTCCTCTGCTGTATGTACTGTAATATGCATGTTGCTCTATATTTCACTGTAATTTATCTTTTCAATTTCTGTGCATGGTATGCATGATCAGAAAATTCGGCTTTAAATCTAAGCTATTAAAAGCAACCTAATAAACATTATGTGAAGCTTTTTTTTTACAGCTCTGTGCAACAGTGCAATTAGTCTTAAAACTGATTTGCATGCGTCTGTCACTGTAATGTTTTACATCACGCAAACCGATAAAAATCAGATCATCAGAAAGGTTAGTTTTGTTAATTGACCATTTTAATATTTTTCTTGTGCTTGCTTAGTTAGTTTTTTTGTTTTTTTATAGTCTGGTGCTGATAGTTGATCTTAGGTCTTTTTCGCTCTTTAGTTTTTCCCTTTTAAAATCTTTTTCATGTGTAGCATACATGCAGATGTCGTTAATGTGAGTCATTTTCTCGAAATGGGAGTCTTTAAACTAGTTTTGGTGCTGTTGTAGTCGTGCCTACACACAGAAGATGACAGAGAAGTAGGCGTGTTGCAGCCACAACATAGTAAGTAAGCTGAGCCAGCGTTGGTGTAGATGACATTAAGAAAGTGGTTCTTCACGATCCGCCTGCAGTATGTGTCTCAGCTTGTGCCTTGATTGATGTGCTGTAAAAAGGCTGTTGGAGCTGAGTTGAATTTGAAGTGAGTCATGGCTGATTTCTCTTGCTTTCTCTAAACAAAACCCTTCTTCCCAGATACACCTCACAGGAATTTAATATGTGGCATCTATTGATTGTTGAAGCTTCAGTTTCAATTTCATTTGCAGACAAATATCTTTTTTGAGTCACTGGATTATGTATAAAACCCTCAGGTAGTAAAATACACTATAACTTTAAATTTGTCCATCTTTCTCTAATGTGAAAAAATGCAGCCATCTGGGCTAGAATTACTTAGCTATGTCAGCTCATTTGCATAACTTAATTTTTATTTTTTTTCCTAAGACTAATTTACACTTTTCTCCCTGCTTGTGGATTTGGTGTGGCTCCACCATAGGCGTGGTTCCCCACAGCCCTCCACTGTCTGGACACCCCCATGGGATGGTGAATGGTCAGAAGTCTCTGGAGCTGTTCAGCCACAGTCTCGACGGCCGCCAGCCTTCGCCTCTTACCAGCCCGCTGCTCAACGACGCCTGCAGTATCCGCACCGATGATGAGGATGAGGTCCGGAGGAAGGTTTGTACCCAGTGACTGTGTCAGTGACTGCTTTTTGAATTTTTCCACACTTTGTCACATTACAACAGCAGACTTAAATGCATTTTTTTATAATGTATATAATGGATTATATGGTGGTGCATAATTATAGAATAGAATAGAAATACAATCCAACTTTATTGTCATTGCACTTTCACATGTACAAAGCAATGAAAAAACTCTCTGCATTTAACCCATCCCCTTGGGGATTAGTGGGCTGCCATTGGGTGGGCCCCGGGCATCAGTGTGGGGTTAAGTCTCTTGCTCAGGGACCCAGAGTGTCAGTCTGTGACCCAAGCGCAATGCTCTAACCACTAGGCCACCACTATATGAAGAAACATGATGCCTTCTGCATTTCTGTCAGCCTCAAAGTTTCAATTCCTTTCTACACCCAGAGGCCAACATTTTTGCTCTGTCATGTTTTTGATTAACATAAAATACCACAATTCCCATCTGCATTTATGTCTAAAGTTTGACATGACTAATTAAGAGCATTATTTCCTTATTTAAATCATGATATTTTAATTTCTGGATCTCTGCAACTCTTTCTGTGCTAAGTTTGCACCCATGATATACTTTTATGTTTTAATTGAGCAATTATCTAAGAAGTTTTGTATGTATGATACTCTTTATTTACTGATGTTATCTAAGGCTTAACTTCTGAGGCCTTAAAAAACTTAGGAGGTTAAATTACACACCTTTGGAGTTACTTATTACTCCATTGCACTGGATATATTTAGAGGCATTGAAGTAAAAGGGATTAAATATAAAGGATCAAGATGCTTTTGTGGATTTTATTCTGAATACCTTTGCAGTGTTTACTCTCATTTGAGTCTCCTTTGGTCCATCACCTAAACCCCCAACCATACAGATGGAAGTTTGATGTTTACATAAAAAATGGTAACACTTTAGTGAGTGTATGAACCCTTTTCAAAGAAAAACTATGTTTTTCCTCATATCTAGTTTTAAAAAGCACATGCTGCTGCTTTCTTACCTTCTTCTCTCATTCATGTTTCCTCTGCAGAGGTTCCCTACTGATCGGGCCTATTTCATCGCCAAAGAGCTGCTGACCACAGAGAGGACTTATCTGAAGGACTTGGAGGTGGTGACTGTGGTAAGAAAAGCCCACACCAACAACCCTCTGTGCTGCCCCATATCCCCCACATCCTTGTTTTCCTGGGGAGAATCACACACATTATTTTTGTTTTAGCTGCTCTGTTCTGCAGCACGGCCGCTCCGTCACAGAGATGAGCAGCGACACACAAACACTTTGGCAGAAATGATTTCATTTCTTATTCATTCCCCATACCCCAGCTCTGAAATACATTTATCCGTCTCGGACGAGGTGGTGAATACTAAACTTTGTTTGTGTTTAGAGGATGTTGGTTTCAGCATTGTGTTCCCTCTGTGTGCAGCTCACTTCTTTATTTTTATTGGCTGCATGGAGACGTGTGCTGGAAAAGGTCTCAAAGTAAACCTGGCAGATAAACAGGATATTAAATGTGTTGCATCGTCTTCTAGGATCAAGGATGGCGTCGCCTTATTTTTTTCAGAGGAGGAAAAAATTTAATTCTTCTTGCTTTTATTTTTTAGACAATTCTAGCTTGCATAAATAACTATTGTGCTTCAAGTGAATTAGATTTTTTTTCTGTGATTTCTTCATTACTCTTTTTTTTCCACCTGCTGGTTGATGCTGCTGTGGTGTTGAGTGTCAAATCATCTCAACAACAGCTGGAACTTTGTCTTCGTCCTTTCGTCACTTTTTCTTACAGCCCATTTGCCGTCCTTTTTAGAGCAGCTGTACAAAGCTTCTTTGTCTCTTCTGCTGCACGAAACATGCTTCATCTGCCACCATCCTGTCTTAATGAAACAACTGTGTAAGAATGGCTATGGAGTCTTGGATCCTATCTCACCACAGAAACACAGATTCTAGAATCAAGTTTCTATTTTCAGTATCAGGATATATTGTAAAGAAATTACTCTATATATACAGCATTTTCATTCAGGCATGTGTAACAAAAAGAGCAAGCATTTGAAAGATGGATACAAAGCCCCTAAAGAAAAACAATAAAAATTATCAACTTAAGTTAATATTCAGATAAAACAAATAGTCTTGATAATAAAACTGTAAAGAATCAAACTGAAAGACATTTAATTTGTAGTGAATTGAGAACCATGGAAATATGGCTATGTAGATTAGTTAAAAGCAATTGGATATTTCTAGTTTTATAAAGAGCAAAATGTTTCACTTACATTCTTTAGCCTCAACACGCTATTTCTTGTTCACATGGACCTTAAAGAGGCCTGAAAGGTTTCTTGAAGCTTTGTTGAGCCCTTAATTCCTCCGACATTAAAGGAAAGTTATTAACACCACACCTGTTCTCAAATTACCCCCATCTCACCACTTTCACTATCAAATAGTGAGCTATGATTTTTTTACTGTTAGAAATTCTCGTTTATACCTTTTATTCACCCCAGAGCACCAACTTGCACAGTGCTGTCCATTAATCACAGTTTTCAAAAATGGCCAGTTAATAAAGGAAATATTTTTACGTTAAAACCTCACATCTTTCTTAATTGCAGGAAATGCTAACATATTATGCTGACATAATGTAGAGACATGAGTGAAAAGATGTTAACATGAAAGTTGGAACTGAAGCAATTAATCAGATGATTCATGATTCATAGATTATTGAAATAATCCTCAACTAATTTAGTAATTGCTTAATCTTTAACTGGAGTACAGAGACTATAAAACATTATTTTAGCTGACAGAGTGACCCACTTAGAGCAGCAATTATACAAAACTGTAAAAAATTTATTAATATTTTTCATTTAAGATAAAAAAAAAACTTTTAAATCTGTCAATATACTATATCCAGAATTAAACCAGGTTTTAGCCTGTTTAATTCTGTGAAAACCTTCTTTAAAGAACCTTTTGATATCTGATTATTAATTGATCTATCAAAGAATTAATCGACTGATTACGGTAATTTATTAGCAAAGTCATAATTAGTTGTAGCGCTAATGTAAAGGTTTATGTAAGAATTTCTTTAGCCACACCATAGTCCTGATTAGATTTTTCTACAGAGGCCGTGGATAGAGTTGAACTTTAGGGTGATGGAAAGAAGGCGTCCCAATTAAAAAGAATTGAGCTCAAAGAAAAATGCTCAAAATGACCAATAGAGTGTTAAGGAGCATATGAATGTTGTTCAAATGCAAATAAAAGCACAGATTTCAAGCCTGAACTTCCAAAGGTTCACATGCATTAAACCATAAACACTTTCCATGTGCCATTCAGCTTTTTTTGCATGCGTGTCTTCATAAGTATGCTGATCCTGACCATAGCGCACAAATTAATGTGTGGGGGATATGAAGGTATAAATACCCACTACCGGCAAAGCAGTTTATCCAACATCAAAATGATAAGGGCTCAGATTTTACATAAATATTTATTAATATGTTTGAAAGTGCAAACTAACAATAATTTCTTTGGCCAAAAAGGATGGAGATTGGCACTGTCCAAATACGCATGTAAGCGTATTTGGGCTTTCAGAAATAAGAGTATGGCAGTTGCTATCTGCTTCTGTCTCCTTGAACTCCTAGTTGTTTCCGGTTCTGCCGGAGGTTTCTTCCTGTTAAAAGTGACTTTTTACTCTTGCATGAATGTGTGAGGGATTGCTGCAGAGTCAACTATACAATGCAAGGACTGTTTACTGTTCCTACATGCTCATCCAGGAGGAGAATATTCTGCAAAATCAATGCAATTCAATGCAAACTGGTTCCCTGAGAAAGGAAACTTTTAAGCAGTCTGTCTGAATGCTTGATTCAATTTTCTAACTTGTGCATTGAAGAATGTTTTTAAGGCCCAACATACACGTTTTATTAGATTATCAGGAGCCTACCTTGGTTGGAAGTACTTTTGGCAAAGCAGCTGTTGAGAGGAGAATAGGTAAATCCAGCTGTTTAGAGCGTTAATCTCGCTGTAAATCTGACTGCATCTCTGACTGTAGGATGGGTTGGGGGCTCACCGAGCAGATAAAAAGTTAATTTTTCCATATGTTATACGTTATAGTTTATGTTTAACTTTTCTTATTTTAATCTTTATTTTAGTTGTTTAGGTTTTTTTTAAAATTTGAGCTTGAACTACATGATATAAGGACAGTCAATTCAAATAAGTTTATTTATATAGCGCCAATTCACAACACACCTCATCCCAAGGCACTTTATAATTCACCATATCATACAGTCAAATCGATTCAATGTTTTCTGTCTAAGGAAAACCAGTTGATTGCATCGACTCATTGACTCAAATACAATCCCTTACACTAAGCATGCTTGTAGCGACAGTGGAGAGGAAAAACTCCCTTTTAACAGGAAGAAACCTCCAGCAGAAGCAGGCTCAGTGTCAGCAGTCTTAAAATGCCAGTAGAAAAATCAGTATCTGCTCACACTAATAAGGCATAAACAAAACTGTTTGCATGCCTCATCAATCACACAATCAATTTTTATAGATCCCCCCAACAGGCAGCTATTGTACTGGCAACTTATTTTTTCCCCCCAAGCAATTAAAAGCTCCTTTTACTGCATCTCTGAAAATCAGGCCCGTTATTTTTTTCCACAATTACATACCTTATATCTACATATTAGCTTGAATTATTGGTTTATTTCTGATTGGAAATAATTATCTAAAAAAAACAAAGATTATCACCCAGTAATGGAAAAAAGGTTAAAATGTTTTTATTACAGCATTACCCTAAGATCCTTGATTTATGCTGTAGTTTTAAATGCCATGAGCATCAACATGTTTATTTTTTAATGTTCTAAATCCTAAATTACTTCAGGAAATCTATATACACCTACATGATTTAGCATAATCCCCTCCGTATAGATTTATTTAGTCATGTATTAAGTGTTTGAGTGCAGAGTTTGACAAAAATTCTATTAGATTTGGCCAGATACCAAAAAGTCGTACTATGCTGCCAAATAAAATTGTAGCTTTTGTTTTAAGTTAACTCAACATTTGTGGAATATAAAGATAAGAAAACCTTGACAGGAAAACGTTTGTTTTCTAATGTTCATGAAGTTTCAAAAACAAATGGAATCTGAAAGCAAAATTGAAGCATCCTTAATATTGTGTGACCTAGGTGTGCCTGACTTCCCAGAAAACCCAGATGTTTTATTTTTGCTTCCTGCAGTATCCAGTGTTTAGGAAATGTTCACTTTATCAACTCACAGAAATAATTTTCATGACTTTTTTTTTAAACAACCTTTTGTTTTAATAATATAAAATATTATAGGTTTTGTAGCTTTAACTCTGTAAGATCATGTGCCACACCTTTGTGTTGAAATACTCTTGGATTAGTTGTTTAATATTATTTTAATGTTTGCTCCATGTATCCAACTGCTTCTCTGTATTTTCCAGTCGTTCCACAGTGTGGTGGGACAGGATGAGGAAACCCCTGACACCCTGAAGAACTCGCTTCTCTCCACCTTCGAGCCGCTCCACAAGTTCCACACTGGTTTTCTCAGAGAGGTGGAGCAGAGGCTGGCTCTATGGTGAGGCTCATTTGACTTTCAAACCACAAACCACATACATGAGGGGCTTCAAATAAGGTTTGATGTAATTTTGTTTTCAAATTTTTCTCTGTGGCTCCAAATAAACTGACCTTTCCATTTTCAGTGGATTTGCGCAGTCTGATGGGCTTTAATTATGCTGTTTTATTGAGGACACAGAAGCACATTGAGATTGCATTGCACAGACCCAGTCAAGCTGTTTCGGTTTACAGCTTTTTTCTGCAGATGGTTCGTGGGGGATTGTCTGTCGTTAGAACTACACATCAATGCCTAAAGTGATACCTCACTTTACTCCGCTGATAATAACCGCCGTCATATGTGAATGCAAATCTCTGGCCTACATGTGACTTTTGCTTTAAGATTTGCATATTTAAATATAGAAGAGAAGATAGGAGTTTGTTCATTGTAAATGAGACAGGATGTGTTTTAAACACAACCTCTAGCATTAAGTCATTACAAAAATAGCAAAGAATCTATTATGGATCACAATTAGCCCACTGTGTGTGGGCTATATGTGTATGATGTGATATTTTGCTCAAGGGAGACACCTGCTGGTAGATCTAAGTTTGTTGGATTTTATTTCTATTGCTTTACTGAGCAAATTAATATGAATCTAGATTTGTTAACTTTGTTAAAGAATTCATTAATGCACAGCTATCTGCTCTTATTCATTTTGATGGCATTAATGTATTTTTTATGATAAACTTAATAAAAATTATATCATTTTATTTGTTATTAGCTTTTGGGGAAGTTTAATACAGGTGTTAAATGTTAAATAACATCCTACAATTTGAGTATCTAAGGAAACATGGTTCAGTCCATCTCTGACTAATTAATGTGACGCCAACTGCAGGATTGCTCCACCTTTGCTGAGCTGTGTAAACCTAGCTCTAACTAACAGGATAGTTTGAACAGTGACATTGCGATGCATGTTACCTGAGGCCTTTTGCCTGATCAGCAAACCTTCAGGACAAGAAAACAGGCTAAATTGTTTTCAGTTTATCTTTTTCTATGCTTAACGTATGCAAACAATGTAATTATGACTAAAGTTGGAAGATTTTTTTTAATTCATACAGATGAACCAGTCAGTCTTCTTGGTAACTGTTGTGTTTATCTGCTTATGAGGTTGGTAGCTCGGTTTATTTTTTACATTTTCCAAGGCTTGTTTCTGGTTTTGAAACAGAAAATTATTGTGTTCCACCTTTTTATATACTTTGGGCAGCTTGTGTCTTTATTTTTATGTTTCCAGCTGACACAGTTTTGCCTTTTTCTGCTTTTTTTAAAAACACAATTCCCATGTCTGCATAGCCTTTATAATACAAAATCCTAGCAATGTTGATGGAAGCTGCTCCTGCAGGTATAGCTGTTTCACAGAACTTGATTACTGATTGCTTAATTGCTAATGAGCTTCAGGCTTGATTGACAAGTGGCGCCCATTGAAGGAGTTTGGCATTATTGAAAATCTCTCTAGCTAAAAAGGAGTGGAAACTGTGCAGGAGCTACAGATATCTAGAGTTTGGGTGGGTAAATCTGTGAAAACAACAGTTATTAGCCATATACTCCACTTAGAATGGACAGTTGGAAGAAAGCAATCCCTCAAAGCCATAAAGAGTCAGTTTTGTCATGAATCATGTACTTAGCACAACAAATGTGGGAACCGGCCACACTGATAAGATAAAACCAAAATGGATCCTTATTGTTTGCATGCAAAATGATGGATGTGCCAAAATCTAATCTGGTAACCACAAAACATGCTTAAATTGGAGGCATCTAGACAGACTTTGGCACCATTTAAAATCATTTCACCCAAGTTAAATGCTAAAATTGAGCGAAGGTCCGGTTTCCTCCGTTTTAACCCTGTTTTGTGAATGCCATGACTGATGACAGAATTTCACAGGTATCTAATCTGGCACAGTTCGTTGAACAGACTGTTTCTACAGTGAAGCATGGTGCTGGCAGTGTCATGCTCTGCGAAACAGTTTCTTCAGTTCACTGAAGTTGGTAAGAGTTGATATGAGGGCAGATTAAGCTAAATCCAGGAAAGTTCTGAAGGGAAACCTGTTCAAGGCAAAATACAAAATATTGGTTTGGAGGTTTACCTTCCAGTGGGAATATGACCCTTAACATGCTGCTGGGCCTTCAGTGGGGCAGTTTTAACCAAAGTTTCTATGTGAATTTGTTCAATGACTCTGTTTGTCTCAGGCTATACTGTGAAAAAAAACAAAAACTGAAAGAGAATCCTCGAAAAGGTAGAAAACAAGGGGGCTGAATGCAGATTCATGTCATTGTCAGAATTTTAGTAGTTAAATTAGAAAACCGGGCATCATGTTTCTTCCACTTTGAAATGTGGGGATTGCAACTTGTCAAAATGTGAAATGGTTTGAGAGCTTGGAAAGCTCTGTGAATGAGGAGTCGGTAACTACAGTCGGTAACTTAATGTGAAATATTACTGATATGTTTCTTTTTTCGTGTGTTTAGGGAAGGACGGTCCAATGCTCACATCAAAGGAGACTACCAACGCATTGGAGATGTGATGCTGAAAAACCTCCAAGCCTTGAAGGTGACTCAGGCCTCAGGTTAAACCTAATGCTTTCTAAAACCAGCTGAGTATCATCCTGATGTATAGCTATTGTGCTTGCAGCCTCTGACAACAAACATGCATAAGCAGTCTGAGATCCTCCTTGAGCTGGAAAAAGCATGTAAGGCATCACGGAGGGTGGAGAACTTGTACAGAGACTTTGAGTTGCAGAAAGTGTGCTACATTCCACTGAACGTCTTCATCCTGCGGCCTCTCCACCGCCTCATTCATTACAAGCAGATCCTGGAGCGCCTGTGTAAACATTATCCAGCAACTCATGTGGACTTCAGGGACTGCAGAGGTGCAGCATTAAAACCAGAAGCTTTATTTTCCTGGATTAATTTACCAGTGTGTTCTACACTTATTCTCTACTTGTGGTTGATCTCCAGCTGCTCTGGCTGATGTCTCCGAGGTGGTGGAGCAGCTCCAGGGGAGTCTGATCAAGATGGAGAACCTGCAGAAGCTTCTTGAGCTAAAAAAAGATTTGCTTGGTGTCGACAATCTGGTGGTTCCTGGTCGAGTGAGTCTGAAGTTTACAGGAATAAAAATGTCACACCTTTAAAGACAAGCATGCACCGATTATTCTGTTTTTTTTTTTATCCTTTTCAGGAGTTCATCAGATTAGGCTGCCTTAGCAAACTGTCTGGAAAAGGCCTTCAGCAGCGAATGTTTTTTCTGGTAACGTTCCTCTTTTTTCAGCTCCTAACACTAATCTAATTATTTAGCTGAGTGATCTCAGCAGAACAAAACAATCATCTGCTCCTGCTTTGCATTATCCAGATGGTGCTGGCAGGCTCAGTGCTACGGACTTGCAACACAGGCTGCTTTGAACTTTTATTGTTTTTAATGCCTTGAAAACATCCTCCTTTAAGTTTATTTTCTAACGGTTTTTAATTTTATCAGCCCCTCTCTCTGTTTCCTTGGTGACAGTTTAATGACATCATTTTGTACACGAGTCGGGGGATGACGGCGACCAATCAGTTCAAAGTGCACGGGCAGCTGCCTCTCCGTGGCATGACAGTAAGTGTTGAACGGCTGTCACCACTTTATCACAACTGTGAAAGGCGCTGCTTTAAACCAGCAACTGTGTAACCAGAGCACAGATTTCCCTTTTATTCCCTCTCCTTCCCTTCCTGCTCTCCCACTCTGTCTATTTTTGGTCCATGCTGTCCCAGATTTTTGGCTTTCTTTAATGTTGTTTTTTTTTTTTCCTGCATCTTTCTGTTCCGCTTCCAGATCAGAGAGAGCGAAGATGAGTGGGGTGTGCCTCACGCCTTCACCTTGGTTGGACAGGGACAGTCAATGGTAGTAGCAGCAAGGTAAATAACCAAGTGGTTACTTTCTACCTTAGATTTATCAAACAGGTCCTGGAAGGTAAAAGGAAAAGATGGGATATTGTTTAAGAGATTTGCAATGATGGTGTTCATTAAGAGATGAATAAGCTAGACTGTGAGTGCTGCTTTGGTGTTTGAGCTTTTAGACCAGCTCTCACCTTTGATTATGAGCAGGCCAGCTGACAGCTTTGCTTGGGCCCGGGACAACACAGTCTTTTTAGGCCCCCCTCTACACCTAACCCTAGCAATTCCATTCCTGGGCCTGTTCCTGACTCATCCTCAGTTAATTTTTAATATTTACGCATAAAATCCATCAAGCCTTTGGTGTCATCTTCCTTTATTCTCTTTTTTTTCCTGTGCCCCAGACTTCTGAAAACCTGACGTTCTTAGTTTGCAGCGAAACCAACTTTAAAAGCTGCAGCTGCCGTTGTCCTGGTCAAATATATATATTTATATATATAAATATTTTCTGAAAAATTACTTCTGCATTTTTAATGGTCAGAGTGTCATTTTTTGGGGACAATTGACCCATTTGTCCCCCCCTGTCAGCAGGCGTGGTTATGAGTAATTTATCATGACCAAAAGGCTGAGATCCTGGATACAGGCAGCTAAAAATGGGCTTCCCTATCGTTCAAAACAGGGCGAGCTTGAAGTACCAAAACTGCTTCTGAAAAGAGTCCTTATAAAAGATATCTACATATTCAGGGTCGATGTATCCCTTCTGGATTGGCAACACTTCAACATCCCAAAGGAATGAGCTATAAATTGTTCAGAGGGAGTGCCACTTATTTAATGAAAAAAAAAACCCCGAAATAACTTCACCTGACAAAAGTAATGACAAATAAATATTCTATGAAGGGGGATAAATGAAAATGAGATATTGCTTTTCAATCACACTTTACCAGAATGTTTAAATAAAATAAAGTAATCATGTAATCAGCATTACAGGTTTCTACAATCTTGTAATCAATCAGTTGGCCTATACCTAAGACTACAGGTTGTCCCTGTGTTGTTTGGTGACATCTCTGGAGATTAGAAAGAAAAGTATAGACCAGCATGTTAAACGTAAAGGCTATAAGAGCATCTCTGAGCAGCTTCATGTTCCTGTGATTACAGTTGCAAACATTATTCAGATACTTAAGATCTATGGGGTTCTAGCCAATCTCCCTGGACGTGGCAACAGAAGGTAAATTGAGGACAAATCAAAGAGACAGATAATGCAAATTGCAACAAAAGAGCCCAGAAAACGTCTAAAGAGGTAAAAGGTGAACTTTAAGCTGAAGAACATCGGTGTCAGATCTCACCATCCATCATTGTTTGAGATAAAGTGGACCTAATGGGAGACGGCCAAGGAGGACACCGTTGTTCAAAAAAAAAAAAATCATAAAAAGCCAGACTGGAATTTGCCAAACCACAAGTTGAAATACCACAATGCTTCTGGGAGAATGTCTTATGGACAGATGAGAAAAGAGGAACTTTTTCCAAGGAACATAAGCTTTGTGTTCATAGACAGAAAAATGAAGTATATCAAGAAAATAATACTGCCCCTACTGTGAAACATGGAGGAGGTTCTTTAATGCTCTGGGGCCCATTTGCATCTTCTGGCACGCGGTGTCTTAATTCTCTGCAGTATACAAGGAAATCTCAGGTCTGTGAAGGGATTTTAGAGAAAAATGTTTGCCCAGTGTCAGAAAGCTTGGTCTCAGTCTCAGGTCATGGGTCTGTCATGGGTTAATAACCCAAAACACTCAGCTAAAAACATCCAAGACTGGCTTAGAGGAAAACACAGGACTATTCTAAAGTGGGCTTCTATGAGCTCTGACCTTAATCCTATTTAGCGTCTTTGGAAGGGGCTGAAATATTTTGTCTGGAAACGGCTCCCTTCAAACCTAAGGGGTTTGCTGATGAGGAATGGGCCAAAATACCTGCTAAGGGGAGCAGAAACCTCATTGACAGTTACAGGAACCCTTTGATTGCAACGATTGCCTCAAAAAGTTGTGCAACTAAGCGTAAGATCATCCTTTTTTTTACAGGCCTTTTTCATTCATTTTTTTTTAATATATAATTGTTCTCTTGAAGCTTGGGTGGAAATGTCTGACTTTTATATATAAAGCTTCGTAGACTTTTGATTTATTATTACTGTTCTTAGATCCAAGCTATTGCTCTGTGACCATTTTTTTTTATCATTAAACAAGGGCTACCAACACTTGTATTTCTATTTATTTTAATTTTGAACTAGTCATTCCCTATTTTTAAGCTGATAGCACTCTCACTTAGAATTTAAAATAACAGAACAGTGAGATAAACTACAACCATTCACTTTGTGTTGTTGTAGATGGGATTCTTTCTAATACAGAAGCAACAAAAGTGACATTTTCCTGATTTTTGCTCCATCTGTTTTTAAGTTCTTTGACAGAGATGGAGAAGTGGATGCAGGACATCAAGATGGCGATAGAGATGGCTAAAACCAGCAATGGTCCCACATCTGATGTGCTGACCTGCACCCTGACTGACAACAGTAAGTTGGAGGAGAAACAGAGAGAAAGATTTGATATATTAAAACATGTTTGTATCTAGAGATGAATACTTGCAGAAAAAAGAAACAGCTGGTGAGTAAAACAGCTCCGTGGCTTAAACCCCAGAGCAATATGGATGATCTGATGCTGTCTGTGTTTAAGCTTCTCCTCTTCCCTCAGCAACCCTCCCACTCTTTGTATAGCTCTAACAACCTCCTGACTTTCCTAGAATGCCCAGAGGACTCCCCGGCAGAGGCAGAGTCTGAGGACGAAATGGCGACTTCACACACATCGCTGGAGAAGCCCACGCCTCATCGTGGCAACACCATGGTGCACGTGTGCTGGCACAGGAACACCAGCGTGTCCATGGTGGACTTTAGCGTAGCTGTGGAGGTATCGGCTAAAGCTCAGACTTGCCTTTCCTCCTGCTCCTCCACCTGTCCTGCTGTTTTTTTCCTCTGTTTTCAGTCTGTGCTGTAACTACATTTACTTTGGTCTTTCACTTGGAACCGTGTCCTCCTGTGCTCCCTTGGAATTAACCTGTTTTTTTTTTTTTATTAAATGGGACATCGAGAAACATTCAAAGGCTGCAGTTACACTCTTAACAGTAACAGATAAGGACACCTAAGATTAAATGTGAATGTAGGGTCTTATTTCAAGGTACATGCAAAAAAGATAATTAGCACCAAATAATTTTTTTTTCATTGATTCATTTATTATAGTCATTTAATGTTAATTAACCTTAACTCTTATCCCAAAGTGCGCCATTAACCAAGCAGTCTAGTAAACAACCATTTTAGACAATTTTTGAGTTTTTACTCTCGTTCAGCTTACTGTTTAAATTTGACCCTCATGCGGCTGACAGCAGCCGGTACAACGCCCGCATCTAAACTCTCTGTGCTGCTTTGCTCGTTGCATCTGTCCTTTTTTTACTCCCTCCTTGACCTTAACTTCTGTGACTATCTTTGTGTAAAAGCATAATGTTGGTTTGTTGAATGCTCTTATCTCGGTTTGTAAGGTAGCGTCCCTTCAACACAGCTGCGTCCTGTACCAGCTCTGCTCCTCCTCTGTCGTTGTAACATTGTCCTCTTCACAGCTTTGCGTGGACGTTAACCCCTGCCACTGCATGCCTGTGTGTAACCTACTCAGTTTCTGTGTTTCTGTCCCTCCCTCCCTGTCTGTTTTTCTCTCTTACATCTGTGCATTCCTCCGTGGTAGAGGAGCCTAGTCCAGTCAGGGACAGTAAGGCCCCGAATGGCCAGGGACCAGTGCCTCTGGCTGTTATCTGCTGGTACCGAGTTCAGAGCCTGTCCTTTAGTGAATCCTGCAAGAGTCTAGAGGTAAAAGAGCCAGGCTGACAGGAGAGGCCCTGTTTGTGCGTGTGTGTGTTTTTTTTGTAGGGGTCCAATCAAATGTTTTTCAAGTTTTACATATTTGTTTTACTTTCATGATCATATTGCAGTAGAGTCTCTCTTTTTTGTTTTTCCTTCAGCCCTGTTAAGGCAACTCATGCTTCTAAATATGACAGGATCTGTTCCTCTTTAATGAATTGACTTGGATATACAGTACAGGAGAGATGTCCTACTTATTTTTCTTTTATATTTTGACAGTTATGTCACACTTAAAAGATTCAGAACATGATATTTTAATATCAGACATGGATAAGGCAAGGACATACAAAATTTGGTTTAAATAGTTTTTGCTGCTGTTTTTAGATCAAAACTGTCCAGAACCACTAGGTTTTATGTAAAAATCTAATGGCTTGTTTTATTGATACACTGTTACTTTAAAATATATAAATAAATATAAAATATTAAGTTTAACATTTCTGACTACATGAAGAAGGTCAATAATATCCTAAAGCTACATGTCATGATCTGAAATAAATTGAAGAACATAATAGGAACAAATTAATTCTGAAAAGTGTTAGGAAGTAAATTTTAATTCTTTAAGACACTAACAGAAGAAATTACAGTAAGAGACAAATTGATGAAAAAAAAAAATTTAAATAAATAAAATCTTTTAATCTTCCCAAGAGTTGTGAGCTGCCAAGGTTTATCATCCTGGAGGTCACAAAAAAAAAAATCTCATTAGACTCAATTTAAGGCCATGTTCTTATTTAACAATAAGAAAGGGACTGGAGAGAAAATGGCATCGATGGATGGGAGAGTTCAGCCAGAACCACTGCTGGCCATGTCCAACTTGCTTAAAACTATTTGATGATTCCCAAAACTTAAGAGAAATTATGGTGTCAATTGGAAAGAAAACAAATACAGCTTCTTGGAAGGCAAACTAATTTAAAATTTGTTGTTCTGAGGCTTTAGTGCTTCATGTTCTGGAAAAAGGAACCATGAATTTTGTTCTAAAACCAGAAATCCTTTAGGTGAATGTTGCTTCAAGTCTTCATCTAAACATTGATTAAGATAGAAGTGCCTATGTCGAATTCTGGACTCGTATGTGTTACAACATAACAAATAGTTTATGGTTGAATGGATGAAATAAACCAGTCCTTCACAGCAGGCTAAAACTTCTCCACAATATTTTACAGTTATTACAAACACATAACTGTTAATCCAACCAGTGCATACACAGATAGTTAAGTTTGGCTGACAATTATATTTTCTCCTAGAGCCAGATGGGATATCTTGTTTCACATTAGTAAATGAATAGTATAGCTCAAATTATATTTTTGTTTACATCAGGATATTTTTGTCTGATTTTGAAATTGTTCAGCAATACCAAGTATTGTTTTTTTTATGACAAAACAAGTGTAGAATAAATCTTTACATCCATCTGAGTGAAAGTCCAGCAAATTAGGGCTGTAATTTATCAACCAGAAAAATTCTAAGACATTGTTTTAAACGCTTTATGGATTAATGTAGAACATCCATCTTTTTCTATTTCACTTTGTTCAAAAATTGAAATATAAAACCACCTAAGGTATTCTCTAAAAACATTTAGGAAAAGTATGTATTTTAGGCACTCTTGGCAATTATAGTTTGTCAAACTGGAAATATTTAAAAACTGTCAGAACTGATTTATACTGTAATGTAATTTGGACATACAGGTTAGAGTTGCTTCCTCACCTGAAGGTTTTAAAGTTGTGTAAAATACACTTTAAATTAAGATTAACAGTCAGATACAGGTACACAAAGAATATACCTAATGAAACTTTAGGTATTTAAAAAATAGATATATTTTATGTGCTGTAATAGTTAAAAATACATGTAAACATTTTTTGTTTTTATTCATTATGTTTATTTAAGATCGGTTGAGAAAACAGCACTCTTGCTAAGCAACTGCAGGTTTATTTATTTATTAAAATGTACAAAATAAGCTTAATGACTTGTGTTTTTGTGAATCATGCATTTGTATTCTTAATTTTTCGTATCCCTCTGCTTTTACAGAATCAGCTTTCAGGAAACTTGTTAAGAAAGTTCAAAAACAGCAACGGCTGGCAGAAGCTCTGGGTGGTCTTCACCAACTTCAGCCTGTTCTTCTATAAATCTCACCAGGTGACACATTGTTTGCAAGAGGAACCGATTCCTCTCTTTTCCCTGCTGTTTTTCCCTCCTCCAGCATCACACCTCAGTGTGGAATATCAAATAGAAGTGCCACGATAGCTGTGGACACATGTTCCCATGCAGCTTGTCATAAGTCCTTATTAGTGCCCCAGAAAGTGTATGGGGAGGGCATTTGGCCTACAGATGATCTGAGTTTAATCAGGGTTCCTATGCATGCTGGAAACTTCAGGAATTTTGCAATGCGATTAATTCACTCCTTGGTGTAAGTAGTTTGGAAAATTTAAATAGAGAATTGAAATAATAAGTATTTAGAAATGTTAATCTATCTATCTATCCATACTATGTATGTAGATTTCCAAAGCAGAGTCTGGAAGAGTAAAGATTTTTGGTTTAAGGAGTATATAACTGTCTTTACTGCAAACCTGGAAAACCAGGGTTACCTGGAAAATATTCCGCTAAAAATGTTTTATTCACTGATAGAGTAAAATATGAAAAGCCTCATATAATATATATTTTTTAAATCTTCCTCCAGGATGATTATCCTCTGGCCAGCCTTCCTCTACTGGGGTACTCTGTCACAGTTCCCTCTGATAATGAAAACATTCACAAAGACTACGTCTTCAAGCTGCATTTCAAGTCCCATGTATACTATTTCCGATCAGAAAGTGAATACACTTTTGAAAGGTAAACTACCTTTTTTTTTATCCATCTTTAGTGTTTTGAATAATCTCTCTGAAGTCTGTCTCCACCTGCAGGTGGATGGAGGTCATCCGCAGCGCCACAGTCCCATCAAGCCGGAACAGCAAACATCCTCACCCTCACTGATTGGGTTCTAGTTGGATTTCCCTTCACTCTATATGGATGGCATCTGCCCGTCCCGCCAAGCCCCATTCCTCAGCAACACTTTGCTTTCCTTCTCTACATAACCGGGACATTTTTACATGTGTACACGCACACTTTGTGCTCTTTATTTTTTAAAGGCTTCGAATGGTGACATGTCCGCTGGTTTAGACTGCATCAGAGACTGTGTTTTTATTCCCCCAACTCTGAAACCTCTTTTTACAGATGTCATTTTATACAGCTTTTCTAACCGTCTGAACCAATTTCCAGACTCTCTGGTTTTACATTAGTCATTTTTGCAGTGGGAACATATTGATTTAGATTCTTACTTGGAGGGAAGAATTGTGCCCAGCCTCCTCATATTTTGTTTTCAGCTTTGAAGATGACCCGCCGTGTCTGTGCCAAATTGGTTTATAGCAACATCAGGGACTTTTTAAGGAGTAGGATGTCCCCCTGTGTGCCGATAAGAAACAGACCCTCCTTTAACTGTTGCAGCTCTGCACCCAACTGGCCCAGCATTGTGGCTCTAAAGTAAAGAGTGAAATTATTGAACCACCAGGGGGAGCTGCCATCATCACTAATGCTGTCTTAAATGAAGTGAATCCTCTACTAGCTGATCTTCGTTCTATGGAAACTGAGTATTTTTGTAAACTCTAAATTGAGTGATAGTATCACTTCATAATCTCTGCATTATGAGGGAATGTGGAACTGAAAGCTTTAAGAGTGTGTGAGGGAAAAAAGTAAAAAAAAACTTTCAATATGAATTTGTTTATCATCCTGACCCCTGAATATAGGTCTATGTATGGATCTGAATGAATAAAGTATGCAGCTAAGTGTTATGAAATGGTTAAAAAAAGGAAAAAAAAAGTTTTTCGTTGTTGATTTTTTTGAGATAAGAAGGCTTTTGGAAATAAAAGCAATAAAGAACTTGCCCAAGTTTATTTTTATTTTTTTTAGAACTTTTTGTTATTTTAAAGAAAGATTGGTCTATTTTATCTTAATAAGCTAAGGAGACTAATGCAGACTATGCGGTGTGGCTCCAAGTAAGGCCTACAGATGGCGTTGGTTAAAAAGTCACTTCAGGGCAGCCAAATTCACAGAATGCCCTCTGGGGATTAAAAGAAAACCTTCTTGTTTTTCGCTTTGCTTCTTTTTCACTAAGTAAAGATTTTTATATTCGATCTCATCTAAAAATATCTCAAAAGCATTAACTTATGATAATATAATACTGATCATACACAATCAAACTGAAAAAATAACACATTTCTCATGAGGAAAACTTTTAAAAAAAGTCTCCCTAGTTCCAATTGCTCAATGTTCATATGTTGCACAGTAATGTAGCTAATAATATTGGAGAAAACTTAAACATATGAGGATATGGATGTCGAATTTGGATTTATTTCTCATCAAAATATGGAAAAACTTTATCTGTGAATAATAGTCTAATATGAATTAGATTTCTACTGAGACTTGATAAGGGAATTTGTTTCAACTATTTTATTTCATCTCCATATATGAGCAAGGAAACAAAAACCTAAGTCACTCCAATTCTGCACATTTTTAGCTCTATTGGATATTTCAGAATAAGTCCTAAGTTATTTTTGTATCAAAGCAACTGGGTTTAAAACACCTTCTCAGACACTGACAGAATCATGATGCATGGTAAAGTAGTTTAAAATAAAATCCCTTTAGAAAATTGTAAAATATATTTTAGATCTGACAAAAATAACAGAAACCCGAACAATTCCTTTAAAATAAATGTAACCAAAGCAGTTTTTATTTCACTTTTTGGTTACTTATTTTATACTTTTGGTGAATAAAAGGATTTGAAATGACATGAAGAGTCAGTTCTTATGATCAAAGCTCAATATTAAAAAAAAGAGAGGGAATCATGTCATTCAAGTTAGCCATGTAACTAAGCTTATCCTTAGTCATGCAGTGGTGATGAGTAAATGTGTCCTTTAAACTTACGTCCATCTACAGTTAAAGTAAGAATGAAAATGCATGAAGTGCAATGAGGAGGATAATGAATCCAATAGGAACATAGTCAATGAACTGCATTAACTTTAAATATTTACAAAGTATTCATTTATTCCAGGTTATTTTCATCTTTCAGTCATGTTTTTTTTAACAATATATTTAGTTATCTTTTATTCAGCCCGTTCTTGCGTCTTTAGGTGAGGGCAGGAGAACATTTACGACAAAATCCGACACAAATGAAGGAAGGTAGGATAGAGGAATCCAGAAGAACTTGGCATCCCAGCCAGCTCCATAACGTGTGCGTGGATACTGGGCAGTGAGAGCGTGCTCCATGCACCAGGTAACCTTGGAGATATCAGGAGAACGGAGGATGTTCATGGAGAAGCCCTGCATTCTCATATCTGTAAAAAATAAAAGAATGTAAATCAGCACTCAGTGAATTTAAAATGGGTTTAAACATGCTGCTCTTCTACCCACAGTCATTTAGGTATGTCGCTCCATATGAATCCTTAACGTTTTCAGGAAGGCGCGTCCACAGCCTCTTCAGGTCGGCCTCGATTAGATCCAGACTGGTTACAGCAGTCTTGAAGAAACCAGGTTCAATGATGCTCACCTTAATACCAAAGTGATGCATGTCCCTCCTGAGATGATGAATATCAATAAATATCAAATTACAAGGTCACAATGTATAAGATAATTACTCTGGCATTTTCTGATCATCAGTTGTATCATTTATGCCTAATTTAACTCATTTTCTTACTAAATGGGTTAATTTCCATGACTATAGTTCCACATTTGCTCTAGCTGCATATTTTAGGCCATCGTACCCCTTAATACTTTATACCTATTCTATAGCTCCTTTGCTAAAGACAAGCTTACTACAGTATATCATAATGCTGCCACCATGCTACCAATCACTATTTATGGCTTTAACCAGGAAGGTTGACATGTCCACAACCTTCGGGATTATTGAATCAAAGTGTTTAAACTTGTTTCATTGGCTTTTCATTTAGCCACAAGACATGTTCCAAAACTTAGCTCTTATAGCTAAATTTTTTACTTTATTTGTGGAAAAAATAATAGCGAGGAGGATAGGTATGAGCTTATCAGCCAGGAACAGACATGCAGTGCTACAGCTAGTGTAATTTTTTTATCTACCGGTATACTATATTACAAAATGTAGTATACCCCTCATATATTTTTGAATATCTTTATAGATTGTTTCATGAAACATCACCAAAGATTAAACATTTTGAAACAATTTGAAGCACACAGGGGTCAGCTTGTCAAACTTGCTTTTTTTGTTTAGCGTTTTCAACATTAAAGGCAATGTGATGAGTTATGTGGAGCGGGGAGAAATTGTACTCTATTATAGTGGCTGTATGACGCATACTTTCCATTTTAATAAAGTGTCACATCGTCATTGTTGTTTGATGGAAAAAATACAGTAAAACTTGTACAAAAAGTTGAGGGGCTTACTTAACTGAACATACTTTAACTTAATGTCATTCTGATGTTTTTTTTTTGTGTTGTTTTTTAGATGCATGAGACAAAGCTTAGAACAATATAACCTCTTGGGTTAAACACAAAAAACCAGCCTTATATTTTTTCATGTCCATGTTAGTTTTACTTTATTCTCTCTATTCACTAGATTTAAAGCACAAACTCTAACTTTTTTTTATTGGAGTTATGTTGGTGGGGGGGGGAAATACACTATGTAAAACTGTCAGTATAACTTAAATGATTGAAGAACTGCCGTAGCCTTCTATTTTAGAAACTTAAATTCAAAAAGAGTTTAAATTTCTCTACCTGAGGCTGTCTGAGAATGCTTCCACTCCCCATTTGGACAGACAGTATCCTCCACCGATCAGAGAGAGCCTCCCTAGAATACTGGCCACGTTCACCACTCTACCCTTGGCTTTCTTCAGCAGCGGTAAAAACTGAAGGGTTACGTCAATAACCCCTATCAGATTCACATCCAAGACTTTCGTAAAATCTTCCAGCACCATCCATTCTGTTGGTCCCACAGGTACAGACCTGCCAGCATTATTCACCAGACCCCAGAGACCTGCGGGGAAGAAACATAGAATCACCAAATGAAATTAAGCCCCTCTAAAACAAAGCTGTATGACATTTTCTTTTGTTTTATTTGAGAGTTTGCCATTTATTCTATTCTTCCATACTTCCTGTTTAAGAGTAACAAAGAGCACAACATGGATAATTAAATCTACACTTGCAACATGCAAATATAAAGATGATTGATCACAATCTACGTGTACAAACTCTTTACTTTGCTGCAAGGAACTAGATACAAAAGCAGCCAAAAGTGGATTTGTAAAATTTCAGTGATAAAAGATAAAGATCATTTGTGACCATCCCGTTTGTCAACAAAATTGCCAATGAAATTAGATCTAGGTCACATAAATATACTTTGACCTAAACTACTCAATACAGTAGTAGTTTTGTAATCTAACATTGTTGGAATTTAAACCTACACTCTGGTCTAAAATCTTTTTCAGCATAACGAACGGCTTATCTTCCAGGATTACCATGCATTCAGCTCTGTGCAACTAAATATTACCTTAAAGCAGCTTTTATGTCACTGCTGAAGAAGTGCAACCCCACCGCCTGTTTGGAATGGCATATGGAGCGCTCGGTTCTTTAGCTACCAAAAACACCTCAATCTAACCTTTTCTTTTAAACCTGATAACCTTTAATGGTCATTCTATTTATGCTGGGGGTTTAATTATGTGAAAAGGGAGAGGTTTGTGCCTACTTTCATCCATTGCTTGCTCAAATAATTTCTTATGTCTATAAAGTTCCCTCTGACTGGAACCCAGCTCACCTTGCTGCCCCACCTCTCTGCTCACAAACTCTGCAGCACTCCGGATGCTTGCGCTGTCAGTAACATCAAGCAGGAGAGTCTTCAGTCTGGGGGATGTCACTGCTGCTAGATCTGAGGCGCCTTTCTCTGTGAGACATCCGGCTATAACCTTGAAGCCTTTCCGGTCCAGCTGTCTGGCCAGAAGGTTCCCAAATCCACTGTCACACCCCGTGATAAACACATGTTTCTGAGTAAAACCACCGAACCTGTAGGAATCTCTGATGTACCAACGGAGAGCAAGGAAGCAGCCCAGAAGAAACACACAGGTTAAGGCCAAATTTGATAGGAGAACCTGAAGTAAAAAAATAGAAAGAAAACAAAAAGGGTAATACCTAAAGAAACACTATTCCTGTTTATTCGGAACATTATAGGTTACATCTCTTGTAGACAAACTCTAGGAGTAGAGTAGGACATTTGGGTATACTACTTGCTACATCAGCTCTAATGAACAACACGTGCATCAAAGAATTAAGTGTATAAAGTCTTA